TAGAAGCCCATGCAGGCCACTACTGTAGCTTGATTCCTTCGGCCAGTGGCTTTCAGACTTTCTTCCTAAGGCACCCATCTCACTTTGCCTGTTGACTGTGGGGCCTCTAAGCATCTGCTATGCTTATCCAGGCACTGAGGTGAGAGGGAGAATAGCTTGTCTAAGATCGTCCATTGTGTTCATGGCTCTGGTGACGTAGCCCACTCTCTTAACCACTATACTACAATAAATATTTTGTTTCTGTTATCCTGCTTCTTTCTTCTCCTCTTATACTGCATTCTGTCTGTGGGTTGGTACGAATATTGGCGTTTAGAGGATACATCCTGTGTGTAAAAACTGGTTTTTAAGTTGCATTCTAGATACATGAATCATCATATAAATGAGCGAGACCACCCCACTGGTGGACCTCCTGATGGGACCTGGTATTTCTGGCCACTGTATGACACAGAGTGTTGGACTGGATGGGCCTTTGGCCTGATCCAACATTGGCGTCTCTTATGTTCTCTTATGTTCTTAAATGTTTCATTACAGCAACCTCTCATCATTGTGTTTTGACACTTGTTCAGATTGTTGATATGCAAATAAATATGCAGATTACAGTTGACCTTTATTCTTCTATAAATGATACAATTACACAGAAGATTACTTTGGCTTCGTTACAATAGCAAATTAACCTTTGATACAGCTGCTAGTAATATAGGGCAAAATCTGTACGAAGGTTCTCCTGCACAAGCTCCATTACAATTAATATGAGCTGCATGAGAACATGTGCCCTTGGTTATTGCTTCTGTCATCTGGCTGTTTTCCTTATGTGACTGAAGGTTAAATTGCAGTCTAGATGAACTAAAAATAAGTAACTAGAAACTTGATTATTAGAAAGAGACAAGAAAGAGGACCCGTGAAACTCGCGGGGGGGGGAGCGGCAAACTGAGTAGGCGGAGGAGGAACCAGCAGGAGCAGGTAAGCTCCCCCCCCCATCCCGCCGGTTCCTCCATCTCCTCCACCCCTCGGCTCAATCTCCCCCCTCGCCACTCTCCCCCTGCTCCAAAGCAAGGCCCATGCGGCTTGTAGCCGCTGGGCCTTGCTGCTCTCCCCCCCGGCTCCAAAGCAAGGCCTGTGCAGCTTGTAGCCGCCAGACCTCGCCGGTCTCCCCCCCGGCTCCGAACCGGGAGCTGGTCTCTCCCCCCTTGAAGCGAGGCCCGGCGGCTTGCAGCCACCCGGGCCTCGCTGGCCCCCCCAGCTCTGAAGCGGCGGCGGCGAGGCCGGGTGCAGAGCGTTCCCTGCACATGCGCAGGGGACGCTCTGTCACTTTTGGGGGATTTAAGTATCCCCCCGATATTTTTTCCAACTTTTCAGATTTTTGTGCACACCTGGGGACTGCCCCAAGTGTGTACGAAAATCTCCGTCCCCCCCCAGGTGCCCCCGATGTGCGGAAATAAGTATCCGCACGCCAGGGGGCGACTTCGGTATTAGATATATAGATAAGATGCTTCCTGATTCGATTATTTTGAAGTAAACATTCATGGTGAACCCTGCATCAGTGTGTGGGTTCTTTTGTTACCTTAGAGTCTTCAAGTTTTCCAGTTCTGTTGTGCCATTAAGTTTCTAAAGAAAAATGGTACAGTTCAGCTTCCGATGCTAAAGAGGTCTAGAACCATAAGTTGCCTGGGTATGAAAAGTGTCTGGGAACCCTGTGTAAGCTTCCCAGAGTTCCTTAGAGGAAGACATCTTAGAAAGGTAGTCGTAAAGTTGTTCATTGACTACTTACACTAGCATATTCTCATTGAGCATTCAAGTGCCATACTTACCATGAGATAAGTAAACTGGACCCTGTCTTTAAATGGATTTTTAAGTTCCTGTGAGCTGAAAACATAACTACACGAGCAATGTTCCCTCTGGCTTTCCCGCCCTGCTGAGCGGAGCAGTTCACATCCTGAGCAGAATATAACTGTTGTAGTCTTAAAATGGGCCATGGGAAGTGCAAGACTGTCCGTGGTTCCAGATTGCTGCTAAGTGGTGCTTCCTGTGTTAATGAGCAGTCACCCACACTTTCAGCTTAGAGGGAGCACTGTAACGGATGTCCATGCTGACACCGTTGATGCTGATCCATCAAAGAGCGGTGTGTTGGTTAGCAAGCTGTGGAAATAAATCACCAATACATGGCAGTTCTCGTACCCACCCAACAGAGCAAGGAAAGGAACAAAGGAAACACAGCATCCTGTGCCGTATGAAGGGTCCTAGCATGCCTGGGAGGAGCCCTGTGCTTACCACGCTTCTGGGAACTCTATACCTTCCCTTTCAGTAAACACACTCCCTTTTGATAGGCAGACACACAGGATGGAATCATAACTGCTTCAGCCCTGTTGCCCAGATACCTACACAGAGCACTTAGGAGCAGAAGCTCACTCAGAAAGCCCAGGGGCTCACCTTACTATGTAAGGGATCAGGTCCTAGTGGGGGGAATAATATCCTGAGGAGCAGCTTTTTGCAAGGTGAAGGGGCCTAGACCACTAGGACAGCTGCTAGAAAACACACAACTGCGTGTTCAT